AGAGCCCTGCAGGGACATGGGGACCCTGTGAGGCCATGGGGAACCCTGCAGGGACATGGGGACCCTGTGAGGGCATGGAGAACCCTGCAGGGACATGGGCACCCTGTGAGGCCATGGAGAGCCCTGCAGGGACATGGGTACCCTGTGAGGCCATGGAGAACTCTGCAGGGACATGGGCACCCTGTGAGGCCATGGAGAACTCTGCAGGGACATGGAGCTCCCACTGGAGCTTGAGGGAGTCCTGGGGGGACACCTGTGGGGATCTCTTGGGGGCATGGCCATCCAGTTACAGGGTACAGAGGGGTCTGGTGGGGACATGGGGAACCCGAAAGGGAAATGTGGGTGCCCAGGGGGGGGCTGACCCCACAGGGGACAGGGGGCACCCTGCAGGGACATGGGGACCCTCAGTGCCTCCCCATCTCCAGCACAGCCCCTTCCCTCCTCCAAGCAGAGCCGGAGGAGCCGCCCCCGCAGCCCCTCCCGCAGCCCCCCCTGCCTGGCCCGGTGACCGACGGGGACTACGGCGAGGGCTTCGAGCCCCCGGACTACGATGAGTGTGAGTGAGGAGCCGGGAGGGACGGGGCAGCGCGGCCCCCCAGCCATCCCCATCCCTGCCCCATCTGCAGAAGGCTGGCACAGCCCCCCACCCTGTGCCCCCAGGGACCTACGGGCTGCCCCCCCCGACGAAGCCCCACGAGCACCCGGACAAGGAGGACAAGATGGAGACAGACGAGGAGAAAATCAGATCCTGTGAGAGGGGTGGAAGGGGCTGGGCAGGGTGGCAGGGCCTGGGGTGGGCGTGTGTGCCCCAGGGACCATGGCAGAGCCACAGGGAGGGTGGTGTGTCCCCGGGCTGGGTTCCATCCCCACGGCGGGTGTCGCATTCTTGGGGTGGGTGGCACGTTTCTGGGACTGGTGTCACGTCCCTGGGGTGGGTGTCACCTCACCAACAGCGAAGCCCAAGAAAGAGGAGGAGGAGGAGGAAGAGCGCTGGGCGGAGGAGAAGGGCCAGGACCGCAAAGGTGGGTGCCAGCCCCCATTCCTGTCCCCTCACACTTGTCCTTGTTCCCCTCACCGTGCCTTTTCCTTTGCCAGGAAAACCCAAAAAAACAGGAGGAAAGAAGTGGGATCCAGATGAGGAGGAATGGGCCCCTCCAGCAGAGAAGAAAAGTGAGTGTCCCCATTCCTGGGGTGACAGGGACACCCTGCCTGGGGGAGAAGCCATCACCCCCTGCTGTCCCCAGGGTGTCCCCCAATCGGGCTGGAGTCCCACCGCATCGAGGATGACCAGATCCTGGCCTCCTCCATGCTGCGTCACGGCCTGGGTGCCCAGCGCGGCCGCCTCAACATGCAGGTGAGGGTCACCCCAGCGCCCGCCCCGGGGCCAGGGGACCCCCGCCCACGTCCCGCTCCCTGCTCCCCAGGCGGGCACCAACGAGGACGACTTCTTCGACGGGGCGTGGTGCGCCGAGGACGACAGCCGGGCGCACTGGCTCGAGGTGGACACGCGCCGCGTCACCATGTTCACCGGGGTCATCACCCAGGGCCGCGACTCCCAGATCCAGTACGGGGACCTGGGGCTGCAGCGGGGGCGTGGGGCGGGGGAGCAGCGTGGGGACCCCCGTCCCAGCCTGTCCCTGTCCTCCCACAGCGATGACTTTGTCACCAGCTTCTACGTGGGCTTCAGCAACGACAGCCAGCACTGGGTGATGTACAGCAACGGCTACGAGGAGATGGTGGGGACTGGACTGGGTGGGTGACGTGGCAGCCACGGGGGACTCCTGGGTACATCTCTCCCTCCTGGGCAGATGTTCTACGGCAACGTGGACAAGGACACGCCGGTGCTGAGCGAGTTCCCTGAGCCCATGGTGGCCCGGTACATCCGAATCTACCCCCAGCGCTGGAACGGGAGCCTCTGCCTGCGCCTTGAGGTCCTGGGGTGCCCCCTCTCCGGTAAGAGTCACCCCGAAGCAGCCCGGGGGCCACGGGGGGTGGGATCTCTACAGCCAGCCCCCGCTGCTGTGTCCCTGTCCCCTCCACAGCTGTCAGCAGCTACTACACCCAGCAGAACGAGGTGACCTCCACAGACAACCTGGACTTCCGACACCACTCCTACAAGGACATGAGGCAGGTGGGCTCTGCTGGGGGCAGATCCAGCAGGGGCGGGATCCTCTGTAGGGGATGGAGCACCCATGGTTGTGGGATCCTTCATGGTGGTGGGATCCTGCACGAGGAGTGGACATCTCTGTGATGCTGAGCGCATCTTTGGGCCATGGCATTCTCTGTGGCTGTGGGCACTTCCGTGGTGGTGGGCATCTTCACAGGGTGGGATCCTCCGTGGGCGTGAGATTCTCTGCAGGGTGCGGGCCTGTCTCCCCAAGCACTGCCCCCATCTCTCCCCACCCTGCAGCTGATGAAGGTGGTGAATGAGGAGTGTCCCACCATCACCCGCATCTACAACATCGGCAAGAGCTCACGGGGGCTGAAGATCTACGCCATGGAGGTCTCCGACAACCCAGGCGAGCACGAGACAGGTGAGGGAGCTGCGAGGGACTGAGGCCCCCAGGCACGGTCCCAGGTGTTTGCTGACGTTCCTCGGCCCCTCCAGGTGAGCCCGAGTTCCGGTACACGGCGGGGCTGCACGGCAACGAGGCGCTGGGCCGGGAGCTGCTGCTGCTGCTGATGCAGTTCCTGTGCAAGGAGTACCAGGACGGGAATCCGCGCGTGCGGGGCCTGGTCGCCGACACCCGCATCCACCTTGTCCCGTCCCTCAACCCCGATGGCTACGAGCTGGCCCACGAGGCGGTGAGGGGGACAGTGGAGCAGTGGGGCAGGATGTGGGGTGGGCTGCGGGACAGCGGGATGGGACGGCAGAGCAGTAGGATGCAGCCCCCCCTCAGAGCTCACCAGTGCCCTGGGCTGGCCGCAGGGCTCCAAGCTGGGCACCTGAGATGTTCAGAGAAAGGGATGGGACCAGGAGCAGTGGGATGGGACATGGGTGGTGGGACTCAGCCCCCTGGACTCACCAGTGCCCTGGGCCACCTACAGGGCTCTGAACTGGGCAACTGGGCACTGGGCCATTGGACAGAGGAAGGCTTTGACCTCTTCGAGAACTTCCCCGACCTGGCCTCAGCACTGTGGGCAGCCGAGGAGAGGAGGCTGGTGCCCCACCAGTTCCCCAACCACCACATCCCCATCCCAGAGCACTACCTGTCCGAGGATGCGGCGGTGAGTGCGGCACAGGGCACAGGGGCGGGGAGAGGGTGGCGGGGGGTGACACCTCATGCCCTGTGCCTGCCTCACAGGTGGCAGTGGAGACACGGGCTGTCATGGCGTGGATGGACAAGAACCCCTTCGTGCTGGGAGCCAACCTGCAGGGAGGGGAGAAGCTGGTGTCCTTCCCCTTCGACACGGCCCGGCCCAGCCCCCCAACGCCGGCAGCCGCCCCGCGCCCGCTGGACTATGAGGACGAGCGCCCCGAGCTGCAGGAGACGCCCGACCACGCCGTGTTCCGCTGGCTCGCCATCTCCTACGCCTCGGCACACCTCACCATGGCCGAGACCTTCCGCGGGGGCTGCCACACGCAGGACGTGACCGACGCCATGGGCATCGTGCAGGGCGCCAAGTGGCGGCCCCGCGCTGGCAGTAAGTCGGGGCCAGTGGCGTGGCTGCCCCACAACCCGGCCACTGGCAGGTGAGCAAGGGGCTGGGTGGGCACGACTGTGCTCTCGCAGGTATGAATGACTTCAGCTACCTGCACACCAACTGCCTGGAGCTCTCCGTTTACCTGGGCTGTGACAAGTTCCCCCATGAGAGCGAGCTGCAGCAGGAGTGGGAGAACAACAAGGAGTCTCTGCTCACCTTCATGGAGCAGGTGTGCACTGGGACATGACCACAGCTGCCCCACCGGTCCCACACGGATCCACTCATCCCGTTTCCTCACCCAGATCCACCGGGGAATCAAGGGTGTGGTGACAGACCAGCAGGGAGAGCCCATTGCCAACGCCACCATTGTGGTGGGGGGCATCAACCACAACGTCAGGACAGGTAGGTGCTGTGAGGTGCTGCCAGGGCACTGGCGGCACGGCCCCCAGCCCACTCCACGCCGCCGCCCCCCGTATCTGCAGCCAGCGGCGGGGACTACTGGCGCATCCTGAACCCGGGCGAGTACCGCGTGTCGGCGCGGGCCGAGGGCTACAACCCCAGCGTCAAGACTTGCCACGTCCTCTACGACATCGGGGCCACCCAGTGCAACTTCGTCCTGTCGCGCTCCAACTGGAAGCGCATCCGGGAGATCATGGCCATGAACGGGAACCGGCCGATCCGCCGCGTGGTGCCCGGCCGGCCCATGACGCCCCGCGAGCGCCTGCGCCTGCGGATGCGGCTGCGGCACCGCATGCGGCTGCGGGAGCAGCTGCGGCTGCGGCGCCTCAACGCCACCACGGCCGCTGGCAGCCCCCCAGCCCCGCCGCCCAGCACGGCCCTGCCCTTCCCCTTCAGCAGCACGGCCTACGCGCCCTGGAGCCAGGAGCCACCCACGGCTGGCACCTGGGAGATGGACACCGAGACAGAGGTGGTCACCGAGCTGGTGACGGAGACGGAGGGCTGGGAGCTGCACACGGGGACGGCGCAGCCCCTCACCACGGCCGAGACCTACACCGTGAACTTTGGGGACTAGGGACACTTGAGCCCTCACTCTGCTTCGAGCCACGGTCGGACGCTTTGGCATCCGCTTCCAACGTCCTCCCTGAGCCCAGGCAGCTAGTCCAGGTGGGCTCCAGCCCCTCACCTTGCTGCTTCCAAGGACTGCAGGCATTGTGGCCAACAGCTGGGTGCTGTCAGGGACATGCCACCCTGTCCCTCAGAGCTGGGCAGTGCCAGCCCGCTGTCTGTGTCCCAGCGGGGTGGCAGGGGTGGTACTGCTCTCCTGGGCAGGGCCCATGGAGGCGGGCACAGCCTTTCTCCCCTCCATACAATTTTTGTTACACAAATAAATCAAGTTATATTGGTATGAACATCTTGTCCCTCCAGTGCTTCCCCAGCTCTGTCACCCTCCCAGAGGACAGACAAAGGAGTCTGTGTCAGTGTTCAAGTTCCATGTCCCCATCCTCGCTGTCAGCCCCAAAGCTGGAGAAGGTGATGGGCTGGCAGCTGAGGTCGCGCAGGTTGACCAGGCAGGCGGTCTGCGTGGCGCTGAAGTCCGGCACCGTCACCAGCAGCACCCGCTGCCCCTCCTTCCCTGCAAACACAGGTGGGTGTCAGGCACGGGAGCCCCCCAGCAGCCCCAGGAGAATCTGGGGGTGCTCCGAGACCCACCTTGGAGCAGCTTGCTCTGGAAATGGGGCGCATTGCCGCAGAAGTAGACATGAGGGCACTCGGTGAGGATAAATGGGTCAGATTTGTAGAACGGGTAACAGCCTGTGGAGGATGGCAATTAGGAGGGGAGCCCCTGGGAAACCCCCCCCATCCAGCAACCCCCCAGCCCTCACCATACCCAGGGTGTCTGGGGCCGTGGGGCTGATGTGTCCCGCCAGCAGTGTCCACTCCAGGATCTCCAGGTAGTCGTCCATGCTGCTGTATTTGAAGATATCACTGATGTTTTGTCCTGATGTCCCTAAAAACCTACATTACGGAGGAAAGAAGGGCAGCTTCAGACGCTGGACATGCCAGAACGTGTGCCACGCCGCTGGCAGGCAGCAGAGCTGGCAGGTTTGCTTACCTGACACCATCCAGGCTGGCCTGGTAGGGGTTGGTGACGAGGCGCAGGGTGGCGTAGGCGCTGGCCAGGGGCAGCATGCAGCGGTGCAGGGGCTGCTGCGGCAGCGTGTAGTTGGTGGGGTCAAACTCGCCGGGCATCACGTCCACAGGCACGGAGGTCTGCGGGCAGAGCGGGATCAATCGTGGCCAAAGTACCCTCCAAGGGGGCTCAGAGCAAAGCCCTGGTGTCACTGCTGCTCCTCTTCCCCAGGACACCTCGCTCGGCTTCACCGAGGAGGCCAGATCCCTGGAGAAGGATTTGGAGCTGGGCTGTGATCTGCCTCTCCACATGGGGTGCTCAAAGGGAAGGTGGGTGCAGGGGAAGGGGGTTTTGCCACTCTGCATCCCGAACTGCTACCCTGCCTCAGGAACAAGGTTCCCTCCCCTAGAGGAACCCGATTTCCTGGCCAACCCCAAGCACTCACACAGAGCTGCAGCAGGATCTCATCCAGCATCTTCACAGCCTCCACACTTGCAGCCTGTGTCTTCTTGGTCAAGTACTTGGCCTGGGTGAGCAGGAAGACAGTGAGGCACAGCCCTGGACCCCCTGCCCCTCCCCACACCCTCCCAGCGCCCCAGGAGCACGGCAAGGCCGCAGCCCCCTCCTCGCCGTACCTTGTTGATGGTGTCTCGGCTCTGCGTGTTCTGGCTCAGCAGATTCCCAGCCAGAATGACACGGGTGATGTGGGCAGCACAGCTCTGCTCACCCTCTGCACCCAGCTGCCCTGTCACCACATCCACCAGCAGCTGCGTGCTCAGCAGGGCCTCCCCACTCACGCTGCCCAGCCCCAGCCCCGAGGCCAGCAGCACGTACCTGGATGGACAGAGACTCCCAAACTTAGGGGCTTCAGAGAGCTGGGGCAGGGGCCCCAGACCCCCTGGCAGCCCCCTTGGCACCAGGGGCTCAGGGACACAGCCCCAGTCCTGCCGCCTCACCGGTCGGAGCTGGGCCCGCTCCAGGGCAGCGGTGGCGGCAGGTCGGCGAAGCAGTGATCCTCCACCAGGAACCCGCCGTCGTCCTGCTCGCAGCCGTACACAGCCACGATGGTCCCTGTGGCACAGCAGGCGCTCAGCCCCGGCAGGGCGGGTGCCACCGCAGAGCCAGCGCCGTCCCTTACCTGTCACCAGCCTCTGCACATCAATGGCTCCTTCCAGCTTGATGCGCTGCAGCTCGTCCTCCAGCATCAGCTCGTCAGAGGGCTGGATGTACTTGGGCAGGGGTGGCTGAGGCACCAGGTTGTGCTGCGAGGGCACAGAGACAGCGTTATGGCCTCAGCAAGGACCAGCAGCCCCCAAGAACCCTTCCCAACCCCAGACCCCACCACCAGCACAGCCAGCACCCCAGCTGGGGGTCCAGCAGCTGGGACCGCCCGGATGGGGCAGTTCCACTCACGGAGCAGGAGTGGTGGGCAGGGGGAACAGACGTACAAAGGGTGGGTTTACATTGGATGTGGGAAGGAATGTGTGGGTAGTGAGGGCCTGGCACAGGTTGCCCAGAGCAGCTGTAGCTGCCCCTGAATCCCTGGTAGTGTCCAAGGTCAGCCTGGATGGGGCTTGGAGCAGCCTGGGACAGTGGACGGTATTCACACACGCTGCCACCAAGGTGGCACTCAGGGACAGGCTGGACACAGGCCATCCTGCTCAAATCTCTGCCAGTTCCCTGGCTACAGCGAGCACAGGGAAGCCATGGAAGCCCAGCTGAGCTCTCAGGTGTGCGGGCACAACTCCCACCCCGAGCTGTGTGGAGGAGGAGGAGGTGAGCCCATTACCTCCTCACTGATCTCCTGCAGGATGGAGGGCTGGAGCTGCATGGACTTGAAGAGCGTCCCCACCACGCAGCACTTCTCTCCCTCGTGCAGCTCCGAGAGCCTCCGCAGCACAACGTCGTTCCCTGTGGAGAGCCGGGGGTCAGCAGCCCCGGGGGGACGGTGGGCACGGCGCGGGGCTGGCGGGAGCAGCTGCAGGGCCCCAGCGCCAAGGTGCTGGGGAATTTTGGGAAGCCTCCTGCTTCTCCGAGGTGCTGGGGAGTTTTGGGAAGCCTGCTGCTTCTCCTCGAGGCACGGCGCCCAGCAGACATGTGTGGGCCAGATGGGGCCGAGGAGCATTCCAGAGGCTGCAAGCCTGCAGGCATTTCCTCTGTGCTGGGGGGAAGCTGGGTCATGGTGCTGTGTTAGCTCCCTGTAACTGCTCTGCTCTGCCCAGGAAGGGCCCACGAGGCACCTTGGGCAGGGGGCTGCTGTTCCTGCTCCTCACCCAGGGGATAACCCAAACATCCTGGAGATGACAGGCAGGAGATGACAAAACACCCCCAAACCTGACCTCTGCCAGGGCCAGATCCTCTGCCCCAGACCCCTGCTGGAATTCAGGATCCCCATCCCTTCCAGAGGAGGTGCTGGCATGCTGACAGGTCCCTGGGCTTTAGGCAGGGATCCACAGGGGATGCAGGCTGGGAGGACCTCGGGAGCTGCAAGAAACATTGCAGGCCCGGCTGCACCCACTTTGTGGCTGAGGAGCAAAAATCTCCCTCACCACAAGGTGAGCCCAAAACTTCTTACCCCACCCCTGGGGACCCAGAGGTGCTCCAGCCCCATCCAGTGTGTGTCCTCCCATCCAGCAGGACTGTCATTCCCTGTTTAAACCAGCCTGTGAAGTCCATCCTGAGCCTCAGGCCCCGGAGAGGAGCAAGGAACCTGCTCCTGGTCTCCTCTCCCAAAACAACACTGCCTGCACCAGCTCCTCGTCCTTTCTGGGTGACACTTCTCCCAAAAATCCCACTTTGCTCATCACGCGCTGCTGAGCGTGACTCTTGTCCCAGGGAGAGCACCCCGCTGCCATCCCTGGCACCCCACACTGGAAACATGGATTCTCGAGCCCAGGAATGCAAACACTCTGAGTCAGAACAAAAACAATCCCGTTGAAGTCTCTTATTTTTGGCTCAAACTCCCCAAAATGTGTGTTCAGGGGGGAGGGGGCTGTGCTCTCCAGATTTCTGCCTGCAGGCGTTTCCTGCTGGGAAACAAACCCCAAAATCTGGTCCCGTCCCAGGACTCCAGGAGGTGGAGTTTACAAACCACTGGATCCTGTCACACTTGGCAAAGCGCAGGGTGGCCAACCAAAGACCAGCGCTGGCTTTTCTTCCACGCAGCCCACGGGGCTGGGGAGAGCACAAGAACAGGCGTCCGGCCCAAAAGCTTCCACTGAAGGGGTTTTTGCCCATAGAAGGGCAAAGCTGAAGGAAATTCGATCTCGGGCCGGGGAGGGGGGGCAGAGCCCCAGCAGCCCCAGTTGCTTCATCCCGTGGATGGAAACTCTGAGCGTGAGGGTCCCACCCGCAGACCACAACCCCCCCAGGACAGGAAACACCCCCCCGGCACAACCAGCACCTCTCACCCCTGTGCACCCTCCTGTGCCCCACTTCCTGGCCAGGGCCCCCCAGCCCCACCTTGACAAACCTCACACTCAACTCCTGCTCCCTGAAATGTGTGGGGCAATGTGACCAAGGCAATGGGGCTCTCCCTGCCCACACCCCCCTTCCATCTGTGATGGGAAATGCAGTTTGTCCCAAGGTCAGCACTCCAGGTGGGAGCTGCAGCAGGATTGCCACATAATCCACCTGCAAATGGATGGCCCCATCATCCCTGTGAATGCCAGAGCTGGGGGCTGAACTGGCTGTGCTGCACAGCCCCTGCCAAGGGTAAAACGCTGCTGGGGACTGGCACAACTGGGTACACTGGAGCTGCTCAGGTTGCAGGAAGGTTCTGGGTGGATCCCAGCCTGGCAGGGATGGACTCCCCCAACAGGGATGGATCTTGGCCCCAGGGTACGTCCAGCCTGAGGAACACTCATCTCTGCACTCCAGATATAAATCTGGTCAAACACCGAGATAAAACCTGAAGGCTTTAAGCTCCACAGATGTTTGCTGCCCAGGCCACCACTAACCTACGCTCCCAAGTGCAACATCCACACAGCCGTTACTTCCCCACAGGGATGGGGACTCCAGCACTGCCCTGGGCAGCTTTGCCAGGGCTGGACAGCCCCTTCCATGAAGGAATTTTCCCAATAGACAACCTAAACCTCTCCTGCTGCACCTTCAGGCTGTGTCCTCTTGTTCTGCCCCTGCTCCCTGGGAGCAGAGCCCAACCCTCCCACTGGCTGCTGCCTCCTGCCAGGAAATTATGGAGAGGCAGAAGGTTCCCCTGAACCTCCTTTTCTCCAGCCTGAGCCCCCCCAGCCGCTCCCCCCTGGACACTCAGTGTTTTTCCAGGGCAGTGTTTTTCCAGGGCAGTGTTTTTTCAGGGCAGTGTTTTGTTTTTCCCGGGGCAGTGTTTTTCCTCGGCAGTGTTCTGTTTCTCCCAGGGCAGTGTTTTCCCCTTTCCCCCGTGCTGAGGGGTTCCCGGGCTCACCCCATCGGCTGCGAGCGCGCCGCTCCAGGCCAGGCCGCATGCCCGCAAGGCGCACGGCGTAGATGTGCGAGTACTGCCGGGCAAAGCTGCGCTCGCCCAGCTGGAAGGGCTGCGAGCAGTCCGAGTACCCCGACACAGCCACCCTGGGGAAGGTGGGGGGCTCGGCCGAGGGGGGGGCCAGCAGCCCCTGCGCCGTGGCGGCCGCCTGCTCGGAAAACATGGCGTGGGGCTCCAACGATGGGTCTGGAAAATAAACGGGTGAATTGAGACTCTGGCTCCCACCCAAGGCACAACATCCCCCTGAAAATGATCTTCCCCACCCCCAAAATACCATGTGCGGGTCTGACCCTCCCTGCAGCACTCTGCAGCCCTCAGCCCTCCTTCCTCCCCTCTCCTCCCAACGCAGGGCAGCCCCAAACTCATCCTGGTGACCGCACCATCCTCTCCTACAATGCCCCCACAGAGCAGGACACCTGAAGTCCCCACAAAACACACCGTGGCCACCACATCCCC